AGACACGGCCCTTCTTCTTGCGACATTTTACGGTTGAACTTCTCTTTGTCTAATTGCGTTGCCGAACACGTTTTCATTTATTCTGTATTACGTAAATAAATACGTTATAAACATTCTTACTTGTTGTTTCTTATATCTAATTGCGTTGCTGAACACGTTTTCATTTATTCTGTATTACGTAAATAAATACGTTATAAACATTCTTATTTGTTGTTTCTTATATCTAAAGAAACTCGCAACAAGCTCAAAAATTTTAGACGATCTTCATATTTCATATGTTTGCAGGCCTTGATCGACTTTGATACTCTTTTCTTGACCCTTTCTATCGCCTCTGTTTCCCGTACTGTCCACGGAGACCAAACACAAGCTGCATACTCTAGTTGAGATCTGACTAATGATTTATAAAGCATTATAAAAATATGATCACTAACACCTTTAAAATTTCTAATTATTAAACCTAACAAAAAATAAGCTTTTTTAACATTGTTATGAATATGTTCAACAAATTTTAGAGAATTATCAAATATTACACCTAAGTCCTTAATACTATCGACATTATCCAATGTATGACGACCAATTTTATATTGAAAATTATTTTCAGGTATGTTTTACCCAAATTTCATTGCCACACATTTTTTTTTCATTTAATTTTGCATTACTCTTTGCACACCAACTAGTCAAGTCATTTAACCCATTTTGTAATACCCTTGTATCAATATCATCATCTGAGCTAACAATTCTGTATAATTTTGCATAATCTGCATACATATACATTGCTGGACCTTTTGCATCTTTATACAAATTAAACACATCATTAACATATAAAAGAAATAATATAGGACCCAGCACACTCCCTTGAGGAACACCACTTAACACAGTACAATATCTAGACATTTTATCATTCAATCTCACTCTGAATGTTCTTCCACTTAAATAACTGTTTACCCAAGTAATCAATCTATCATTCAATCTGTACTCTTTCATTTTTTCAACTAAAATACAATGTGACACTTTATCAAAAGCCTTCTCAAAACCCGTGTACACAACATCAATCTTGTAGCCATCATCTAGTGCCTTAGTCCAATCATCCAGAAGTTTCAAGAGTTGCATTACCGTTGATTTACCTTTTACAAAACCATATTGTCTAGGGTCAATCAAATCATTATCAGTTAAATACAACATCAAATCATCCTTAATAACCGATTCCATCTTTTTTATCACCCTTTTTATAAATAGCTTTTACAACACTTTCCTTCCATATACTTGGTATGACTCCCCATTGATATGATATACCATATAAAACAGACAAATAATGTATGTATGTCTTTATGTATGTATGTATGTATGTATATATGTATGTATGTTAGTATGTATGAACCCGTTTTGTATGTATGTATGTGTTAAAACCAAATCATTGACGAATGACACCAAAAGCCAAGCGTCTGACTAAAGTTGATTTTATTTGCTATAACGTCACTCAACCCCGTCGGCATTCAACTCCACATTTTCCAACACAGACGCGCAAAAACCGCTGCAGGATGCACGAGATATTATTCATAGCAAAAAAATATTCCCTACTATCGCCTGACCTAATACTGATATTTTTACAAATTCGATTGAAAAACCCGGAGGTATTACGGTCCATGGGGCCGAGGACCTCGATACAAATCGGTAAAAACTCCATCGAGGGGAGAGCTCCGTCGTACTTTTTGATCTTTTCGTCAGATGCCCTGGTTGCAGCCAAACCGCTTTCTTTGCTAGTAAGCTGCACGTAGAGCTCAGCAAAGGTGCCCGGAACGGTAACGTCCCACGCCAAGCACCTGCCGGCTCTCCAAGGGATCAAGGTACACCTGTCAGGGCGTTTACCGTCGTGCGCCGCAATGCCCGATGTTCCTTTAAAACCGGAATTAAGGCCTTGGAGAAAAGTCGGCACACAAAATCGTTTATGGCTGAATGTCGCTGCTGGCGACCTCCGCCCAAACGACAAACAAGACCATGATGGCCAAGTTCATCCGCCTCCGCGCCGCACCTGCATGTATATCGACTCTGAACGGCCAACCCCAGACGGAAGCCAATGCTGTCCTGACCGTTTCGTCGTCCAATCTGGTACCCACCGACGTATTGGGCAAAGATCTCATCCAGCCACAACTCGCCTCGCTGGATACTGCCAGCAAGCGAGCTGAGGTCGCCGAGTCAGGGCTTGAGGAAAGCAACTCTTTGAATGTGCGTTTATTTGCTTCCTCCAAAATGTTGCCCTGGGAAAGGTCTGTTGGTTGGATTGGAGTCGGTGGAGTACAGTGTAGGCTACTAAATTGCCGAAGAAGGGCAGACTGTAGGTCAAGCGTGGCAGATGCGGAAGATTTATAAACAATTGGTGCAAGCTGAACCACGCTTAGTAACCCCAGTCCCCCAAATCGTACCGGCAGCTGAGCCTGAGACCAACCCTTGTCGGTAATATCGACGTTACAAATTGCTGAGAGGGCCACCCGCAGAGCACCCTCAAATTTGCCCAAAATGGCCGCATTAACAAAATTGGATGTGCGAAAAAATACATCAATTTCGGCAAACTGAGGGCGCCGCGGATGATTGTCAGCGCGTCGTGGACCGGGAGGAGAGAGACACGTTCGAGGGCAAATCTTAGCTCAAAAAGTTTTTTATTAAAAAACCTGTCCTGATGATCGCCGACCATCATTGGAGTGCCTAAAAAATTTAATGATGAATGGGGCACTGTGGGGACATTAGCCAGCACGTGTGGCGTTTGAAACGTGTCATTTACAAGTAGTTCACACTTGTTTGTGTTTAATTCAAGACCAATGATGGAAGCGCCGACCCTCAGCGACAGGAAGTCGTCCGCTAAGATGTTACCCTCTGCGGCCAAGCTGACATCGTCCAGGTAGCCACAAACAAACGCCGAGGATGACTTCGTCAACAGCGGGTGAAGGGTTAGAGCAAAAAGCATCGGTCCCAAAGGGTCGCCTTGCTGTACGCCCTCGCACGATTCAACCACCCAGGCGTCGTAACCAAGAGAAGAGACTTGGCCATATGCGGAATGACAAAAATTATAAATTTGAGGACAGTGCTGCTTAACTGCTTCTAACATTGAGTCTCTTCTCAGAGTGTTGAAAGCGTTCTTGAAATCAATCTTCAAGAATCCCCACCGTTTTGGAAGTGCTGAAATCAGTTCACGTACGGCGTGGACTGCCGCCTCAGCACCACCTTTCACACCGACGCCCAATTGGATAGGATAGAGTTTGGCTTTGACCTGTTCCAACACTAGCGCCAGAGCGCACTTACTGGCCAGCCTCCTCCAGAAATT